TTGGAAAAAAAAAGCGGAAAACAATTCAAGTTCTGACAACAAGATCAGCTGATTATCACGTGATAATTCTTATATTAAAGAGTACTATTTAACTAAATTCAGTTCGTACTAATATATTTTTATATTAATTTCTGAGTTAATATTCACCAAATATTATGATGATACTGTTTGACTGTAATATTTCGGCAAAAAAATTCAAAAAATGTTTTTTCTTAAAATATTGCTGACCTCAATAATTTTATTTTTACTTTAAAATATTTAATTTATTTATACAAAATTTTTTAAACTTGACAAATAAGACAAAAAGCAACATTTACGTAGATTTTAGCCTGAAATAATTTGTTTCAACTCATTTTTCCTTATGTATATAGTAGAGTTTGAGATATAAACTCAAATTTACTAAATTATAAAATCTGATTACGTAATATAAAATTAGTGTATAATTATAAGTACACAAAATATTAATAACTTTAAAAGTAGCACTTTAAACATCATATAGTATATGTATCACATATATGATAATATTCAAATACTAAATATATTGAAAGAATAATATCCCAGAAACATGGGCATTTGGAATATGACATATATTACTAGTAGTAAAAATATACGGTGAGATCAAAGCTATTGATCTTCGAAAAATCCACATACAAAAGTCTACAAGATATAATTGTATATGACCCATTTCCCTGTTTTATAATATATATATATATAGTTTAATCTTAAAATGTGAATTATAGAAGTAAAACAATGAAAAGAACTAAATGCAAGTGACGAGTATAGAACTGAAAAGAAGAATCATGCTAAAGCTTTTGAATACAGAGCTTGCACTAGAGTCAGGAACAAAAATACCCTTTTTGATTTTATCCTCAAGAGACAAGTCTCTTTTGCGATTACCTGTGCTGCAAGTTGATGCTGAAGTAACACCTGTTGATTCTATATCTAGCTGTACAGAGCTAGTAGGTATTGATGTATAAGCTATTTGATTTGTTATAACAGCGTTGGAAACTGATGAGTATTTAGATGCCTTTTGAACGTTTGGAATTGAATCACCAAGCTCTTGAATATTTGACTCTTTTGTATCTGTAATCGGCTTTCCAAACAAAATTTCATCATTATGTGCGTCAAATACTCCATAAATATATGGGAAAAATATCCAACCCATGGTGATCGTATCTTTATCAGGACCTGGTATAATATGCTTCAAAACACATTGATCTGTGTTCCTTATTTTCTTGGTAAAGCCAGCGGAAGGTATCTCTATTTTATGACCAGCAACTTCAGCTTGAATAGGACTAGCATTTTCACAATCGAAAACATAATTCTTTGATTGTTCCTCATAGAAAGCCCCCAAATTATTCAGTAACTTTTTGTGAACATCTTCAGGAACAGTTAGCCCAGTAGTATAGCCACAATCAAAGTTCATGAAGTAAGTGTTTCCATTAGTTGTAGACTCACAACCAGCTTCAAGATCTGTAAGATATGACCACCATAAACGACCATTTCCAAATGGTTTAATTGGAACTGATACCAGATCTCCAGTGTATTTAGCAGAATCAATAGCTCCAAAATATATTTCCCCCAATGAATGATCATTTGCACTAGAATATATGGAAAATGTCTTTCTCGATATCAAACCTTTTTCTTTTAATTGATCAAAAAGTGTTGGTTCACCATAATTATATCCCAATCCGAAAACATTTGTATCTGAGCTAACACCATTTGTAGTAGCATATGTAACTAATCCAAAATTCAAATTGATTTTATCACCATTCTTGTCAAATGAAACAGCATCTTTACTCCAGTTACCTTTATAACTTGTGGAATCTGCATACTGAACACTGAAATCTTTATTATTATTTTCATAGCTAGATGAGTTTGTATAGTCATATCCTCGTTTTTCTGATACCTGCTTGGATTGAACAAAGCTTGTATATGAGCCAGTATCTAGCATAACTGGGATCTTTTCACCTTGACTACCAAAATAAAGATCTATTATAGGAGCTGATCTTGATTGTGATAAGAATTCAAGGTCTATGTTATTATCTCTTCTCAGCAAATGTCCTTCATTATTTGGTTTGAGCTGAAATGTCAAAGAAGCGATAGAAATATGGATTTGTAACAGTCCTAATATGATGATTGATAAGTATATGAGCATTTAGATGATGGCTTGATGACTAGTATAATGAATTATATGGTTCTCAATTAAGACTTTGAAGTAATTCTAGGGGACTTCAGTAACTCTTATACTTTCAGCAAAATTCACTGTATAACTTCAACGCATCTTTATGCTTGAAAAGCTCCATCAAAGCCCCAGGAAACCCATACTTGACACCAGTTATATAGCTATCTAGCTCTCGGGATCATAGAACCTTCCCTTTTGGTTAATATAATTAAAAGATTTTCTTCCTCGAACGTTATCATATTACACGAATTTCTGCCACCAAACTTGCATATGCCTGCGACTGGAGACACATCACGAAAGTCCAGAATTAAGATTTCATCATCTTGCCATACAAAAATCTATTCATTCACAGCCTTCGTTACTCACTAAAGTATCTCGACTGAAAACTTTTATTGTTAGAACACTACTGTATTAGAACAAATCTCACTTACAAAACGCGAGTGAACCTTTAGCTGAACAGTATTAACGCGTAATCTTGATGATGATAAAATATTAGGCTAAAAGATCTGATTCTCGACTTGAAGTATACTATTACGATTAGCCATGATTCATTGGGCTCCTTAATCGATTGCAGATATGATCAATTACTTCTCCTAAAGAAGACTTTAATAGATTGCATAATTAGTCAAGCCTACTTGAACTTAATATAAGTACTAAAAACTTTAGATCGAAGCTTAAAAAAAGCTCCCTATTCCTTGATAAACAGTACAAAGCTCAAACAGATGTCAGATGTCTATTTAATATAAAAGCGTTCCCAACTTATAAATGTCACGACTCACCACTAACAAGCTTTGGAAGTATATACCCGTACCTTTTTGATCCATTCAAAAGAAAAACCATGTTATCAATTAAAGTTTTATAAAACAGGACCTTACATATGTTGCTAATTACTTAAACTGGTACGTAATTAAAAAGAAAAAATTCAAGTTTAAGCCTTCGGGATTTCAGTAGAACTGTGTCAACTAAAGTTAAATGTTCTACATCCAGAATAAAGAAAGTCCAAAGATCCCATAAAAGAGGATAATATACAAAAATGGATATCATAAAAAAGTCAAATATAACAGCTTTTCTATAGAAACATCAATCATAAAAAGCATTAAAAGTAGAAATCAAAAACATGAAAAGGTGATGAATTCAGAAAAACATCATAACAATTGGAATAGCACCTAACAAACCAACTGCTAATCTATTACCAGCACCTTCATAAGCAGAAACTGATGCTGGAGATGGAGCACTTGGTGAATTACCTTGAGTTCCATTTGTACCATTGTATGATGGTTGGGTGAAAATAGCTGGTGCTGATGATGGTTTTGTAGTTTCAGTGATTAATTGGGTAACATAATATGTTGTGTCATCACCAGTTGAAGTTGGGATAACCTTGGAACTAACTGGAGCTTGATTTGTAGTTTGCTCAGCTGGTGTAGAAGCTGGAGATTGAACAACTGTGGTTTCACCATTTGGAAGTGTTGATGTAACTTGAACAAATTGGGTTGAAGTACCTTCTGATTCATTTGATGATTGTTCAGGTTGAGTAACTGGTGTAGTTTCAGCTGGAGTTTCAGAAGTAGCTTCAGAAGCACCAGTGTTAGTAGCAGCAGGAGTTGAAGCAATAGTTGTAACATCACCGTTTGGTAAAGTGGAAGTAACTTGAACAATTTGTGTTGATGTTTCTTCAGCATTGTTTGGTGATGGGACAGATGGAGATGAAGTAACTGGGGTTGAAGCAGCTGGAGTTGAAGCAACAGTGGTAACATCACCATTTGGTAAAGTAGAGGTAACTTGAACAACTTCAGTAGATGTACCTTCGACAGTTTCAGAACCTGTGTTTGATTCTTGAGCTGGAGGTTGAGCAGCATCTGTTGTTGCTTGTGTTTGAATTTGTAGTGATGGTGCAGTAGTAGTAACAGCTTGTGTAGTTGTTGATGCGCCTAATTCTGAGCTTTCAGCACTTAATGGACAGTAAGTGGTGTAAATATTGACAATGTTACCAATTCTCTTAGTGACAGTAGTGACAGCAGCAGTTGTTGTGTGTTCAACACAAGCATTATCAGAACATGAAGTAACAGTTGCAATAGTAGTCTTGTCTTCTTCAACAATAGCAGTGGATGTAGATGGTATACCGGCAGAAGCTGAAGCTTTTGAAGTTAGTGCATTAGAGACTGGAGCATCTGTTGATGTACCATTGGATGAAGCAGAAGATGAAGCGATTGATGAAGCAGGAGCTGCAGTACTAGTTGGAGCACCTGAGGATGAGATTTGAGAGTCATCAGTAGTTGAAGCAGGAGCTGCAGAAGAAAATGAGCCTGGAGCACTTGAAGCATCAGATGGAACAGCAGAAACGACAGTTGATGCTGGAGCATTAATGGTATTACTCAAATCAAATGTTTGAGTGGCTCTCTTGACAAATCTAGCACCAGTGTTATCAGTGATTGCAACGGTAACATCAATAGTAGCTGAAGCAGCAGTGATTGCATTAGCAAAAATACGTGCGACGAAAACTTGACCTTCTTCAATGGTATCATCATAGTTGTAGTTGAATGAATCTTGGTTCTTCTGATAAACTGCTGGAGCAACTCTTGAACCATCAATAGTAGAAATAATATCCTTGAAAGTGATTTCTTCATTATCTTCTGAGGAGATAGAAATTTGAGCCCATGGACCAAGTTCACTTGGAATTTGGATATCCCAAACTGGTGCACCATCAACAAATGAACCATTGATAGATGGACTAGCAGTAGAGCTTGGTAAAGCGGATGATGATGATGATTCAGAAGTTAATGGAGTTGATGATGATTCAGATGATAGAGCAGTTGATGGACCTGAATTGTTGAAATAACCACCGAATGATGAGGAGATAGAGTTTGAACTTGATGAAGCAACTACTTGAGAGCTTGATGAAGAGGATGGTGTGATTGTTGAGAATGATGATGGTGAATAGAATGATGAGGATTCAGCAGATGATGAAACTGAACCACTTGATGCACCAGCATCAGAGGCAATTGAGCTTGATGATTGAACAACTGAAGAAGCAGATGATGATTCAGAGCTTGATTCAACAGAAGAGATTGAGCTTGAGCTTGATTCAATTGATGATGATAATGACGATGATGATTCAACAGATGAGACAGAACTGGATTGGCCTGCAGCAGCAGAGCTGACACTTGAAGCATCACTTGAGCTTGAGATGGCACTTGAGCTTGAGATGGCGCTTGAGCTGGAAACAGCACTTGAAACAGATGATGAAACAGATGATGAAATAGCAGAGCTTGATGAGAAAGCAGATGAGGAGGCACTTGAGCTTGAAGCGGTACAAGTGGTGAACCCAGTTGAACCAGTGTAATATGAACCTAAAGAAGCAGAAGAAGCAAATAAACTGACAGTTGAAGCAGAGGTATAATCAATTGAGTTACCAGTGGAAGTTTCAGTTTGTGAATAACTAGCGGCTTTAGTTGAGCTTGGAACTGAATCAGTAACTTCAACAATGTTTGAGTCAGTGACTTTCTTGTTTGGTTTACCAATTAAAACTTCCTTGTTATCAACATCAAAAACAAAATAGAAGTTATCAAAGAAAGTCCAACCTAATTGGAAAGAACCTTCAGAACTGATTCTCCAGTTGGCAGCACAATAATCAGAGTTTGGGACTTGTTGGACAAAAGATGAAGATGGAATTTCAATTTGAACACCACCGAAATCAAGAGTAATAGATTTGGATTTACCACATTCAAAAACATAAGCCTTTTGGTTTGATTCGTATTGAGCTTCTAATTCATTGATTAATTTGTAGAAGACATCTTCTGGGAAATAAAGACCAGTACTGGAACCTGAATCAATCAAGATTGGGTATGTGTTACCATTTGTTAAACTTTCACAGCCATAAAAGACATCAAATAATTTAACATTCCAAGCTTGGTCATCAATAACTGGAACAGCGACTAGATCACCATCGAATTTAGCAGTATCAACACCACCGAAAGTGAATTCACCTTTTGAAATTTCATCTTGATAGACTGAAAAAACTCTTTTTGAAATAACTTCTTGAGCGAATAAAGTACCAATGAATGTTGGATCTGGAGAATCTGGGTAGTAACCCAAACCAAAAATATTAGATGAATCTGAGGCATCAGTGACTAAACCAAAAGTTAAATTTGTGTGTTGAGAGAATTGTGAATCAAATGCAACGTCATCTGCAACCCATTCACCTTTGAATCCAGTACCATCAGCATAGTTAACTTGGTACTCTTTACCTAATCTAGCTAAAGTTGTTGATTTATTACCATCAAACCCATTTTTGGAGATTGAGCTATCTTGGACATAACTAGTATAAGAACCTGTGTCAAATGAAACGAAAGCTGCTTCATGTTCACTACCAAAATAAAATTTTGTACCTGGAATGATGTAAGTTTGAACACTGGTATCAACATCAACGGTATCTTTTTTGGTTAAGCCTGGGAAAAGGTCACCTTGAGGACCAACTGGGACTCTAAGAAGAGCAAAAGCTTGAGGCAATAAGCAAGCGATGCTGAATAATGTAGAATAGCTCAACATATTTCTGTATTTATATGACTTCTTAAAAAAACCTAGCACAAAATTTGGGTATTAAAATTTGATTGTTATAAAAAATTAATATAAACAATAATGAAACCAACGTAATGGAATGTATAATATAAAGTGAATGAATTAGTAGTTGGTGAATATAGTTCTAACTTTTGTAAAGCGAATGTATTGAGTTAGACTATTGTTTTGTGTGTGTGGTTTGAAGTGCTATTAGAAGTTCTTGAAGAGTTTGGGGTTGAAGGTTGTTTATGGTAAATGTGGATGATCCAAACTTTTTATATGAAGCACGAAGCGGTACAACATCCTAAGCCCATCCGAAAGCGTGTTCAAAATCTTCTATTTATGTCGTTTCCATCTCTTTTTTGAGAGCTTTGCTCCACTATTATTGGAAGGGTTTCCTAAGGATTTCGTTGCGGAATGTAGAACTCGACAGACCCTAACATTATACGTGCAATTCCAACAGAGATCCGCGTTTTCTCGACTGCGTATACCATACAAAAACAAACATTCCAAAGATCCAACAAAATCAAAACAAACAAAACATTGATCAGTTCCCCAGTAACCATAAAGGCCTTTATAATAGATCAATTAGCTTGCTTCAAGAACAGCTTTGAAAAAGGATGATTAAAGAGTGATTGATATCTTTTAGTTGAGAATAGATCTATATTGTACTTTGCGGTACTACCTTTATAAGACTTGTGGAAGTCTAGACTTATTGGATGCGAAACTATGCAGGTACATCCAAAAAGAGATTGAGATCCACCGAATCGAGATGGAAAAGCTTCCATAAAAATTGACCGTGGATTTCAACTTTCCAAACCACGAAGAGCTTCAAGATTCAAGATTCAGTAATCGGGATCTTTTAAGCCCACCAGAACACCAGATTTCAGAATGTCGTAGCCTGTAGGCTTTAACTTGAGAAATATGAAAGAGCCAAAAAATGCGTACACAAGTAAGTTCAAGCAGCAAAATAGAGGACTCACAATGTTTTTTCATAAGAAAAATGCTTTATCTTGATTGAGAAATACAAAGTTGGACTTGTAAGTTGTTACTTCACTAGCTTGTCCATTTCTCAATCCAGACTCCCAGCCAATTGTAATGTAGCGGTATAAATGATAGCGTTATAGGTTATAGGCTATATACGCTGGCAAATGTGCGGACACTACCCAGGGTCCATCATAATTAAAATAATCACTCACCAAGTTTATAAGTTATAACTACATGTTACCAGCTACAACTGACTTCAATACAATTTTTTTATTCAAAACACAATAATATATAAATGAAAAGGTCTACTAATTTAACAATATAAATCTCTTTTTTTTTATGGGATTTCTAACGATAGTTCAATCAAAAAGCATTACCAAAGCCTTGACCTGTAGCTTGATAACCTAAACCCGTGTTAAAAGATTGAGCTGGAGAACCATTAGTGATCATTAATCTTTGGTTTCCTAAAACTGGTTCTTCATCTTCGTTTTTGGATTCTTCTCTGACTTTTAAATCATTGATTAATTTAGTGATATGGTTAGATCTATCTCTTTCAACAGCAATATGATATGGTTTAATGTATTCATTCAAATCATGTAACCAAGCTAATTCAATAACCTTGTCATAACGGATTAAATCATATGAACTGTATAATAAAGCAATGAAAGCTTCATTGTTACCCGTTTCAACGAAATAAGTCAATAAATCTTCAGCAACATCAGTTGATTGTGAGATGGTAGCAGTTTCAATAGCAGTGTTCCATAATTGATCTGTTTTCAAGATAGATAAAGCCTTGTTCCATTTCTTATTTTTACGGTATAAACGAGCAGCAATTTGTCTAAAGAAAATCAAATCATGTTTTTCTAATCTAGCAGCAAGATCAATTGAATCAAATTTATCATGTGTATCAACAACAGTACCAAGAGTCTTGTAATCTTCTTCTTCAATCAATAGATCATGATAAGCAGCATTAACAACAGAGTTGTTCTTATCTAAAACACTGACCAAGAATGGTTTGATTAATGGCAAGTTATCAGATTTTTGGAATAATCTAACAACTCTTGGAATATCGATTCTTGGAGTTAAGACAGTTAACAAATCAGTTATCAATGATGGGTGTTCATTAACATAGAAGTTGATAGCTTTGTAGTAAATTTCCAAGTTGGCAACTTTAACAATGATTTCTTTGAATGAAGAATGATCGAAACTTGAAGCAGCTTTTTCAATCATAGTTAAAGCAGCATTATCCCATTCATCATAATGAGCATATAAGAAAATTAATTCAGGCCATAAGTGAGCTGTTTCAGTAGCTCTGATAACTTTAGGAATATTAATTCTTGACCAGAATAATTTCAAATGTTCCAAAGTTTTAGCTTGGTTATATTTGGTATATAAGATAGCTAATTCAGTGAACATACCCATATGAGCTCTTTCTAAACCTAAACCAGCTTCAAATAATGAAATTAATTGATCGAAATAACCTTCACTTTCATATTTTTCAACTAATTCACTCAATTCTTCAGCATGAACAATCAAGTTCAAACCACAGATTTGAGCCAAACGGAATTCTTTATGTTCAAGACAAGCATCGTTAACTTGTTTCCAGACTTTAGTGTTACTAGCTTTTCTTGCACATTCAACAGCAGCTTGATAATCATCCAAAAAGACTAAAGTACTTGCCAATTTAGAATAGTTTGAAACTGAGGAATATAATAATTTAGCAGCTTTGTAATCTTTACGTTCATATAATTTATCACCAACTTCATTCAAGTCAGCAACGTTTGAACCATTCAAGAATTTTTCAATTTCATTTAATTTTTCTAATTCAGCATAAGCGACAATAATTTCACCATCAATTTTTGGTTCTTTGTAATGTTCTCTAGCCATTAATAAGAATTTAATTAATTCTTCAAATTTACCAGCTGAATCAGCAATATCAATAACAGATTCATAGTTTGAAGCGTCACCAGCTTTAATATAAGATTCAATAGCTTCTGGAATACGTAAACCATCTAATTGAGAAGTACCTAATTGACTCCATAATTCAGGATTATCAATCTTTTCAGCATAGGCTTCACCTCTATCTAATGATAAAACATCTTCAGCCAAAACTTTCAAAGCTTGTGGATATAATTTGTTCTTATCGTAAATTTCAAAAGCTTCTTCATGTAAACCAGCTTCAGTAGCTAATGAACCAATTTCAACAGGATCAAATTGATCTAATTTTTCAATGTAAGAGCTAACTTTAGTTGGTTCAACTTTAATAGCAGTCAATAATAATAAACCTTGTAATGATGGGTTATCATTGAATGGAGATGGTTCCAAGATGATTTTTTCTAATAATTCAATCAATTCTAATGTTAAACCATTATCCATAAATGCTTTAACAGTTAATGAAACTGGTTCTGGGTCATTTAATTCTGGAACAGCAGTACCAACAACTTGATCAATCAATTGTCTTCTGTGGATGTTATCTTCACCCAATACAGAATTCCATAAACCTAAATCAGATCTCTTCAATAAATATCTAGCTTGGTATTTGTACATTGAGTTTTCATTGGTGATTCTGATCAATTCTTCATCATTTGAACCTCTTTCATAAGCGATATAAGCTAAGTAAGGATCTCTTTTTTCACAGTAACGACCAACTTCTAATGTATCATAGGAATCATTTTCTTTCAAGAATTTTTCTGGAGCATTGTTTGAATCAATGTAAATTTTAGCTAAAGTGTTGTAAACAGCTTGATCTTGAGAGCCTGAATTCAAAGTAGCTTCTAAGAATGGTAATAATAATTTCAAACGGTTTCTCTTTTCAACTTCAGCAGTCAATTCACCGACTGGAACTTGACCCAAGACACTTTGAATCAAGTTTTGAATGACTTTTTCATCACAGTCAACATCTAAAAGAGCAGCAACAACTTGTGGAGTTTTTGATGGGTTAACTTGTTGAACATAAACTTCAATGAATTTGAAGAATTGATGTTTGTACAAGTATAAAATCAAATCATGAACATAGTTGAAACGGTCACAGACAATAATCAATGGTAATTGATCTTGTAAGTTAGCATCTTTCAAATAGTTTTTAACTTTTTCAGAATCATAAACATTGTTATCTTTGACAATACGTTCAATTTCTTTAACTTGGCCTAATTTAGCAGCAGCTTGAATATATTTGAAAACAACATCTTTATCATCAGTTAAATTGACAATAGAAGCCAAATAATAGTATAAACCTTCATAAGAGCGGAATTCTTCAAATAATTTGATCAAAGTAGCTGAACCAATCAAATCAGAAAATTTAGTTGCAACTTGAATAACAATTTGTAAGTTTTGAGCAATGTTTTTATCTAATAATTCTCTTAAAACAACAGTTGATTGATCAACATTCAATTTACCGAAATAAGAAATTAACCAATCGGCTGGGATAGAACCAGTATTAACAACGACTCTCTTAATATCTTTAATATCAGAATAGTTTTCTAAAGCTCTTTGATATAAACCAGCTTTTTCAGCCAATTGAGCAATAGTTGGTCTATCATAATGATGGAACATATCATTACCTAAAATGGCGTCAGCAACTTGTGGAGCATGTAACAAATTGATTTCCAATAATCTTGTTTGTAAATGTCCTTGGTTTGGAGAATCATCTTTTAAAGCATCTAATAAGAAAGAAGTACCTTGTTGAATGAAATTTTGACTAAAGAAAATATCAGCAATTTTTTCAACTTCAATTTGTTCACTAGTTGAAGGAGAATTTAATAAACTAATGGCAAATTCTGAAGCTTTATCAGGATTAGATCTTAACAAGTTTGAAATTAAAACAATGAAATTTGGTTGATAACCAACTTTTTCACTATATGGTAAGATTTTATCAAATTGACCAGATTCAGCTAACGCAGCAATAACTTTTGGATGAGTTTTAGCTCTCAAGTAAATAGCCAAAGCTAACGTTAGATCAAATGGTTTAACAATATCACCTAATTCTTCAGATGAAGTTAATTTATCCTCTTTTAACCATTTTTCAAACAATTGTTTACGATCTTGTTGTAAAACTGGTCTTGCTAATTCAATAGTTTCAAATTCATTTAGTTGGCCTTTATCTAATAAAGTTGAAAAATATTGTAAAATTGGAGAAATACTACCTGGAGGAGCTTGAACGTTCTTCAATTTATTAATGGTTTGAGGAGTTCTTAATTGAGCAGAAGAAGCAGCAACTTTAGCAGCATTTGAATAATCACCTTGATTTAATAATTGATCAAATTGTTGTAAGAATAAGTTTTCAGCACCTGGTAAACCACCTCTTGAAGCTAATGATAAAGCTAATGGAACATTAGCTAATTTGTTCAAAATGTATGGAATCAATTTATCTTGTGCAATTTCAACAGCTAAGACTTGACCTTGTTTGTTGATGGCTAAGATACCATTGTTATCATGATAACTTGAAGCAATGAAAACTAAGTGTGCTGTAATTCTGTTAACAAATAAGTTTTGACCACTTTCTAAATCATATAAATGAATAAACCCGTATTTTGTTAACAAATAAATGACACCATATTTCTTGGAGACTTGTAAACTAATTGGGAAATCATTTTGAGCATCTGGTGGGAAAAAGATATCAACAGATTTTTTTTGGAATGGAGGATTATTACTATCATGATCAATTTCAATGATATGTAATTGACCACCATTAGCAGTTCTATTACCACAAACAAAGACTTGAGTTGGTGCAGAGGCATTTTCTAAAGTCAATTGACTGAAACTGGCAACATGACCTTCTATAGCTTGTGAAACATTTCTTTGTTTTGAAAATAATTGAATTTTACCAGCGATACGTCCGTTTTCTTGAGTAATACCAACAACAGCAAACCAATCAAAGTTTGGATTTGAAACAAAGTTAATGATTTGAGCGTTATTCAAATTGACATGTCTTGAAGTTAATTTGACTGGACCAACTGAAGGTTGACCATCGAAAACGTTCCAAGTATAGATCGAGCTGGCAGTAACCAAACCCAATTGTTCATCATTTAACCATTTCCAGAAGATGACAGGTTCATCAGTACTGCAAGATTTTAGTTTTTCTTTGGTTTGTAAATTGAAGATTTGTAAAGTTGTACCATTAGCTCTTAATGAAATAATAAATTGTGAAGGGTGCAAAATGGCGTTATCAGCAGTCATATTTTTTCTAGTGATTTGATTGTTATTTTGCAAATCAACAATGGCAACGGTGTTTGCACCGTTGACTTGTTCTCTAACGACGACATAATGATCACTTTCTAAAGTTGTTGATCTAAATTCTAAAGATTGTTGATTTATACCTAGAGAGGTCAAATCAGTCAACTCTGTGAATTCAATTGGAATATCACTCATGATTGTATTTTCTTCTTAAATAAAAACAAGTTCAGCAAAAACACAAAAGATGAGATGGATATGGAAGTAATTGAATTGAAGGATGAATGATTTTAGTTCTTTTAAGTAGTGTGATGTTTTAGATCTCTGTTATGTTTCAATTGTTGATTTGGTTGATTCGTTGTCGTGTTTTTTTGCTGTTTCCCCCTAATTTGCCAGCGCTTTGGAACTTTGGCAGATTTGGAATTTCGCGGGAATCTGGCCAAGTTTAGTTTTGGGAAAACAGACGGGTGACACTTGTTCCTGCGGTGGAACGGTAGGACCAGCACCGTACTAATAGATTATAGTGGATGATTTTTAGTTCAATCATGGTGAAATAGAGTTGATATTAGTATTATTAGAATGTATAGCTACACAGAAATATTATTATGTACTTTGATCTGAAAGTTTCTCGGTGGGTGCGCGTGGAAGCGTATTTATCACTTTTGGTGGTGAATCGTGATGGTAATTAATGGAGCGAAATTACCGGTGAATACCATTTGACGACTACTTGAGCAATAAAGACGGGGATTTGAAGAGTATAGATAAATTATTGATGTTAATTGACATTGAGAAATAGTAGAAAGATCATCATTCAACTGTCAGACCGTTGTTCCTGATCTTTACCTTCGAATAATTACCATGATCTGTTTCCCGATCCACAGCTTCTCCGAAAATTCAAAACGTTTTGGACTAAAATTAAAGATCAGTCAATGATCTAAATTCCTATAAACAACGTATCAAAAAGTCATACAAATATCATATTCCAAAGATGTCACTAGAAGCTATTAGATTTGATAGAAATGCTAGATCATTAAACATCTTGGATCAACTTCTTCTTCCATATGCCACTGAATATATTCCAATCAACACTATAGCAGATGCTCACAACGTGATCAAGAAGATGCAAGTCCGTGGTGCTCCAGCTATTGCAATTGTTGGTATATTATCCATATTAGTTGAGCTAGATCACTATGTTGATGGGAAATTCAAAGATCAATCTTTTTATGATTTAGGTGATTTTGCAAATTTCCAAAATCAATTGATCCAAAGATTAGAATATTTGGTTACAAGTAGACCAACTGCTGTTAATTTATCAAACGCAGTTAATGAAGTTATTGAATTGATCAAGTCCACAAAAGCTAAATCAATTGATGAACTATATCCAGAAATCTTCAAATATGGATGTGATTTAATTGATGATGATTATACAAATAATGTTAAATTAGGTGATCATGGTAAAGATTGGATCATTAAACATTTGGAAAACGAAGGATTTAATGGGAAGTTCAGTGTCTTGACAATTTGTAACACTGGTTCATTAGCTACAAGTGGATATGGTACTGCACTTGGTGTTGTTAGATCACTTTGGAATCATGCTAAATCATTCACAACTTCAAATGAAGAATCAAATCAAGAACCAGCTACAAAAAAATCTAAACCTTCAGGTGCACATTTTTCAAAAGTATATACATTAGAAACTAGACCATATAATCAAGGTGCAAGATTAACAGCATATGAATTAGTCTATGAACAAATTCCATCAACTTTAATTACAGATTCTATGGTTACCTATTTAATCTCAAGTTTAGCAAAAAACCCAGATTCACCACCAATTAAAGCATGTGTTGTTGGTGCTGATAGAATCGTTAAAAATGGTGATACTGCAAATAAAATTGGTACTTATCAATTAGCTTTAATTTGTAAACAATTTGGTATAAAATTTTTAGTGGCAGCTCCTAAAACAACAATTGATTTGAAAACTCCACATGGTGATCAAATCATTGTGGAACAAAGACCTTCAAATGAATTACAAAATGTAAGTGGTGGTGTTATTGATATTCAAACAAATGAAGTTGTCAAAGATTCAAAAGGTCATGCAATTAGTGGGAAAGTTGGTGTTGCAGCTCCAGGTATTGAAGTTTGGAATCCTTCATTTGATGTTACACCTCATGATTTAATTGATGGGATTGTTACTGAAGATGGTGTTATCACCAAGAAAGATGGTGAATTTGATTTAGAAGCATTATTTGTTTAGAGTTCTTGAATAATTGTATAGATTCGTAATAGATTTTTGGATATACTCGAAGTTTAAGAGCTTCGGATGTAACAGTCCCATTTTGGTAACTGAAGCGAAAGTATAAGCTAACGGAGTAAACACAGAAGTCATAAGACATAAGCAACATAAGATTATCTTCGAAGCAACTTATGCTGAGTTTGGGCTGGGATGTTTTCTGTTGTAGATACTTTTACTTGATTTGGCTTACTGTAATAGCTTCTCTCTGATCTATATTACAAATCTCCACCACAGTTGATTTACAAGAGATCGTTATCAAATACACACTTTAGATAAAGAAATTTGATATAAAAACTCACAAGGACCCGCATACCCAAGAGCCATATTGTTTAGCATATTAGTCAATTGAGATATATCAAGTAAAACAATGTCAGATATAATCAAGGACCCTGAAACAGGTCCAATTAATGTTGATAATGTTTCAATCAAAAGGAGAAGATCTAATTTTCAAAAGATTAAGCATACTTTTACTGCTTTAAGTGTTATCATTTTATTAGGATATACAATTTATACCCACCATTCTTCAATTTTCAAATCACTATCTAGTAATAACAATAATGATATTCCACCAAACCCTTATTCAAATGTTAAAGCATTAAGACCATCGACAAATTCTGAAAAGTCTCATTTCATCTATACAGATCCAGATTTTAGAAATGCATCATTGAAGAAATATCAAGGTTTAGTTCAAATACCAAGTGAAGTTTATGATTTTGCTAATAGACCAGAAGCTAGATAATTTAGAAGGATGGGAACCTTTTTTAAAATTACATGAATTTTTAGAAAAGACATATCCATTAATTCATAAACATCTTAAAGTGGAAAAAATTAATAAATTAGGATTGATTGTTACTTTCCAAGGTTCAAAACCTGAATTAGAACCAATTTTATTCACAGCTCATCAAGATGTTGTCCCTGTTGATCATGAAACTTTAGATAAATGGAATTATCCACCATATTCTGCACATTTTGATGGGAAATTTGTATGGGGTAGAGGTTCTGCAGATACAAAGAATTTATTTAGTGGTATTTTTGAAACTTTTGAAGAATTATTAAAAGATGGTATTCAACCTAAAAGAACTTTAATCTTTGCAGGTGGATACGATGAAGAAGCTATTGGAAGATATGATGGTGCAAAATCATTACAAAAATTTCTTGAAAATAGATATGGTCATAAATCATTTTATGCACTTTTAGATGAAGGTGGAGGAGTTTCAAAAGTTGGTGAAAATTCATGGATTGCTTCACCTGGTATTGCAGAAAAGGGTTATTTAGATATTTATATTCAATTGTTCACACCTGGTGGTCATTCTTCAATTCCTCCAGATCATACATCTATTGGTATAATTGGTGATTTAACAGGGTTAATTGAAAATGATCCATATCCATCTGTATTGACTGCTGATAATCCAATACTGGACTTTTTAAGAACTTCAGCTGAAATTTCAGGAGATTTAGATGATGATACTAAAAATGATTACATTCGTGCTAAATATGATTCAAAAGCTCGTGAACGTGTTTTGACAAAATTAATTCATAATAAATCCAAGAAATATTTGGTTCGTACATCTCAATCAATTGATATTGTTCAAGCAGGTGTTAAAATTAATGCAATTCCTGAAGTTCTAACATTAGGTATCAATCATAGAATTTCCTTAGAGAGAACAGCACAAGAAGTTATTGATAATGTTATTAAGAACGTTAAGATTATTGCTGAAAAACATGGTTTAGGAGTTACTCTAGAAGAAGGTGAAACTACAATTTTAGATAAAACAGAAGCAGGTAGTTTTGATGTTAGATGGGTTCAAGCTTTAGATCCTTCACCAATTTCTAAAACAAATGATAAGACATGGGATATTTTATCAAGTTCTATTAAACATTCATTTGATGATGTTATTTTCAAAGATCAAAATCAAACTGTTGAAATTGCACCATATTTAGTTGGTGGTTATACTGATGCTTCAAGATATTGGCCATTAACTGATCATGTTTATAGATTTGCCGGAGCGGCTAGTAATAGTGGTCCTTCCAATGCTCATGCTATCAATGAACATAGTGAATTTGATACTCATTTACAGATCATTGCATTCTTATATGATTATATCTTGAATGTTAATGAATATGATAGTTAGATAGTATAAACAATTACAATGAATAAATGATATTATTGATGAACACCTGTATTCCCTAAAAATTACAAAATCTATATGTCTCTATATGTTGAACTATATCTATTGATCTAAAACTTTAACTTCATTTTCAATGAATGTTTTTTCATATGGTTGAGAAACTGGAGTACCAAAGACTAATTGAGCTTCAACATTCCAACTTTCTGGAATTTTATCACCTAAAGCAGCTTTAACTGCAGCGTTATAATGTTGTAAATGACCACCTAAACCAATTTCTTGTAAAGCGGCCCAGGAATTAATTTGAGCAGCACCATTGGAAGTGAGATCAAAATCTGGGAATAATGAAGCGATGAATGCAAATTGTTCTTGAAATTTTTTAGTAACATCTGAATCAATTGCAAAAATAACTGAACCATAAGCTTCATCACGAATTGAAGTTGGTCTTTTCTTACCAGAATCACCTTCAATGGCATTTACAACTTGATCCCAAACTTTTTTGTGTAATTCACCAGTAATGATAATGGCTCTGATTGATTGTGAGTTGAAAGAAGTTGGAGTGTATTTGACGATATCTTGAACAATTGATTGAACATTGTCAATGGTAACACCTTCTGGTAAAGTGTTTTTTAAAGCGTAATGAGTACGACGAGCTGTGATTGTTTTAAGGAAAGCTGAAGCTGACATTGTGAACTGATTATAATGTGAATGATATTGATATGTAACTATACAATTGACAAAAGAATAAAATAAGCAGGAACACCCATGTCTTTATATATTATGTGATTATGTGCCATTTAAAACTGTGGTGCGGTTAGTAAATTTTTGTTTACCATTAGTAAAATGACAAATGCAAAACAAAGCTGCAGTATACGTACGGTACGCACTTATACTACTTACAAATTACAAGAAACCTGCCACCTAGTATAGCTTCTTGGTCCTTGATCCTTTAGCATACTGATCCAAGCTGACAAATGCTTACTCAGAATTCAGCCTTCAGGCTCAAATAAAATAATATTTAAAAGTAACTTTAGCTTCTTCACAGTCTGAATGTCGTCGGGTATTTTTTTAACGATTTCATCTTCCGATACCTCAGTGGGAAAATGAATCCGGATTACGTAACATATATATAAAAAAAGCCCCAAATAGGTAATTAATTTTCCGTTGATTCGAAATTTGAATAATTGTCTACAAAAATGAAAACGTCGAAGTCTGAAGATTTTATTTTGTCAGCTTACTCTTGTTTTTTCAATTAAATTTACTGGGATCAGTCAAGTTTGAACGAGTCAACCCACGAAAGTAGAGTTGAAAGTTCAAGTACAAGTCGAAGAAAGAGGAAGAAAGAAGATGTTCCAATGAAGATTGAAAGAAGGACAATGTGCGCGAAAAGTACCAGTACAAGGAAACTCCTATTCACTAGTCAGAGTCACTGATCAGGATTCAGGAGTCACTTTGGAGTAATTTGAAGTTTGTGCCTATTCTTCCACAATGTTCTACTGTTCTGCCTAGAAGTTAAATACCCAGTGTAGAAAAACAGTGAGCCAGGAAGGGAAGTTGGAACTCTTTGCCTAAAATGCCTGCCTACCTTCCAAGAAATACCAGTTCTCTTTCCACGCCAGCCAATTAAATCATCTGCGCAAAACTGTAGATAAGTTCAAAAAGGGTTTGAAAAATGTTGATGATGCACTGATAAAAAAATCAAATTTATATTGTTGAGAAACTTCTTCAAACACATTCTTAAATTAGGAATAACGAAACATTATTACACTAAAATGTCTGCTGAATTAACTCACCCAACTATCAAAGATGGATGGTTCAGAGAAATCTCTGATACCATGTGGCCAGGTCAAGCCATGTCATTAAGAGTTGAAAAAATCTTACATGTTGAAAAATCATTATATCAAGATGTTCTTGTTTTCAAATCAACTGATTATGGTAATGTTTTAGTCTTGGATAATGTTATTCAAGCTACTGAAAGAGATGAATTCTCTTATCAAGAAATGATTACTCATTTAGCATTGAATTCTCATCCAAATCCAAAGAAAGTCTTAGTCATTGGTGGTGGTGATGGTGGTGTTTTAAGAGAAGTTGTTAAACATGAATCTGTTGAAGAAGCTGTTTTATGTGATATTGATGAAGCTGTTATTAGAGTCTCAAAGGAATATTTACCAGAAATGTCTGCTTCTTATAAACATCCAAAAGTTAAAACTCACATTGGTGATGGTTTTAAATTTTTAAATGATTATAAAAACACATTTGATGTTATCATTACTGACTCTTCAGATCCAGAAGGTCCTGCTGAATCTCTTTTCCAAAAACCATATTTCCAATTATTAAATGAAGCTTTAACTGAAAAAGGTGTTATTACTACTCAAGCTGAAAATATTTGGTTACATTTGAAAATCATTACTGATTTGAAAAAAGCTTGTAAAGAAGTTTTCCCAGTTGCTGAATACGCTTACACCACAATCCCAACTTATCCATCTGGTCAAATTGGATTCATGGTTTGTTCTAAAGATGCTAATGCTAATGTTAAACAACCATTACGTTCAGTCTCTAAAGAAGATGAAGATAAATTATATAGATACTATAACAAAGAAATCCATTCAGCTTCTTTCGTCCTACCGACTTGGGCTGCCAAAGCTTTGAAATAAGATTGTGATTTTGGGATATATATTTAGTCAATTGATTTGAATATATTAAAATGTTATACATGTTATGAGTTTTGTAGTGGACGTTGTGGTTACTACCAGTTTTGGATCTATAAACTTTTCAAATACGTAAATGATAGATTAAAGCTTCATTTTCAACCACCATTATCCCTCAAAGGTCACTTAAATAATGACAAAAGTAAGAAAAAGGAAAGTTGGAATAGCAGGAGGTGAATATGAAGCTACAATTTGTGATTTACTCCCAGCTAATAAAGGTAGATCAAGTCTTGTTAATGCCATGATTAACGCGTATGATTTCAATAAATTATGTGATTCAATAACTGTTAAACCTGCTAAAAGAGATGAATTATTAAAATTTCATGATTCTAGATATGTTGATTATGTCTTAAGGAAGAGAAAAATAATTGATGAAGAAATCACAACCAAACAAAGAGAAGCATTAAAGAAATTCAATCTCAAAGATGATCAAGGTGATGAGGATGAGGATAAGGATGATGACGACTCAGAACAAGAATCAGATTCAAATGATACATTGTTCAACTATGGACTTCTATACGACTGTCCTATATTTCGATTGATGTCCAAATACATAACCACAACAGCCGGATCAAGTATATCAGCCGCAAGGTATCTAATAACTGAATCTTCAACAATAGACCCAGAAACTCAATTAATAGCTATAAATTGGAATGGAGGTCGTCATCATGCTAAAAAGGCAAAAGCTTCAGGATTTTGTTATATAAATGATATAGTATTAGCTATCATAGAATTGAGGAAAACATATGAAAAAATTATGTATATTGACTTGGATTTACATCATGGTGATGGAGTTGAAAGTGCTTTTAAATTTTCTGATAAAGTTTTAACTTTTTCGATTCATAGGAAAGATATTGGATTTTACCCTGGAACTGGCTCATTAGAAGATCTAGGAAAGGGGAAAGGTTATGGTTATACTGTTAATGTTCCAATAAGGCATGGTTTAAATGATGAATCTATGGATGAAATTATCGATCGAATTCTAAAACCGACATTGGATAAATTTAATCCTGATTGTATTGTGGTACAATGTGGTGTTGATGGTCTTAGTTCTGATGAACATCAAGAATGGAATTTATCAATAAAGGGGTTTGGCGAACAAGTTTCCAAGATTTTAAAATTTAATAAACCAACATTATTATTAGGAGGTGGTGGATATGAACATTTACAAGTTGCAAGATGTTGGACATATTTAACAAATATTGCATTGGATTTAAATCATAATTTTGATTTAATACCTGAACATGAATTATCTGATGCTTATGAAGATGAGAATTTTGAATTTTGGAATATTTTACATAAAAATATGATTGATGATAATTCAAAAGATTATATTAATGAATTGGCTAATATTATAAACAAGAGAATTGAATCATGGTAATAAATTACCAAATTTACTTAACCAATTAGATTCCCATCTTTCTTTACTTTTCAAAACGGCACCTTTTTTAACTTCAGCATATAGTTTATCATTAGTGAATAAATTCTTTAAACCTTCAAACATTTGTGTAGAAGTATTAACAGTTAATCCATTAACTTCATTAGTAACTAGTTCAGGTAATGCCGGGAAATCAAGAGCAATGACAGGTAATCCACATCCAAACATGTCAACCACTTTCATTGGTAAATCAATCCCACTTGATGATGTATGTAATGAAATACCTATATCTGCTGTTGCTATAACTTTTGGATAATCTTCAGCTGATAACCAAGAATTGACTATATTAACTTTTTGGAAATTTGAATCTTTAACACTTTGTAAAAATTGTTCTTTCATTGGTCCTTTACCTGTAATTATGACTTTTAGATTTGGTAAAATTGATTGTGTATCATATTCTTGTAATGCATTGATGAGAATATTGAAATCTTCATCTGGTGTAAACGATGTTGAGCTAACAATAATCTTGTCATTTCGTAAATCAAAAGATTTGAATATTTCAGGATGTGAATGTATAATTTTTTCCTTTTCACCCAACGTTAATGGTTTGAATTGTGATGCTGCTTTATCATGTAATACCACTATTTTCTTTTTGGAAACACCACACTGTTTCACTAAAAATGATTTCATAGCTTCTGTAACTGTTAAATTTATATCAGAAAAAGTTGCAAATAATTTTTCATAAATTTTAGCGGCTGAAACAAATGGATGTTTTGGTCCTAATTTAATCTCAAGTATACTATAACCTAAATTATGCCAATCAATGATTAACTTCGTCTTTGTGATATACTTATATAGAGTTGCAATCAATAATGTTGGAATTGAAGGAGGATTTTGAACCAAAATGTAATTAGCGCCTCTTAATTTCCATAATAATTTTGAAATGTTTAATATTTGACCAATTACTTTTAATACACCAAATATCACAAATGGTAAGTTTTGAGTATTCTGTATCACTTTCACATCGTGTATCTCAACATTATAATTATCAATCAAATCTAAAGGTGGTGATTCTTCAAGATATCCGCATAAATCAACCGAATAACCCTTTTCCGCAAAGCTTCTAGCGTGATAACACATTCTTGGAGAATGACCTAGATCACCAAGAACAAATATTATGATTCTTTTCTTTGAAGAAATGTTTCCATATATCAGCGGTAGTATTACATATGTAACGACTGGTAAACAAAGGTATAACCCTATCAATATCCAGACCCATGTTGGAAAATCCAAATACCTTATAAAATCCAATATTTTCACATAGATCTGGCCCACCAAAGGGACAGATTCGATGAATGATACATCAACCATTATTCCTTATATAAGTTATTTGATCAATGATACCTCTGAATAACACGCACTTCAAAATCTAACCAGAAGTTACCAACCCCAAGTCCCTTCTCTCAAAGTACTTCAATCTTGTGCAATGCGCAGTGTTAATCTCTGTTTTGGTTTTGACGTCTATTCTAAATTTTGAATCAACAAATGTGTCCTGTACCGCAAATTCTGGCAGCGCCCTGGAAAACATTTTTTCTTTGGTTTTGTAAAAGGTGACCTGTTTACGATTCAAAGCAACAGCAAAACAGAGGAATCATCACAGAACAAAATGGTATGTCGCGTGTTATGGAGTGGTTTTGGTGAATTGGCGCTGATTTGAGGAGGATCCATGTGAAATTTTGGTGGGTTGGTGATAATTTTGAGATATAGGATTGATTTGGTTTCTAGATCTGTTACACGTACTCATTCCATGGATGGCGATAACTCAAACATCAATTGATGATTATATTCTCCAAATATCAATGAAAAAAGAGAGTCTATATACTAACATATGCTCCAATAGGCCACTGAAAAATTGACAGAACAACAAATCTCAGAATTTAAAGAAGCTTTTGCTCTTTTCGACAAAGATCAAGATGGTCGTATTTCAGGTAGTGAATTATCAACAGTCATGAGATCATTAGGTTTCTGTCCTTCAGAATCAGAAGTCACAGACATGATGAACGAAATAGATGTCAATGGTGATCACCAAATTGAATTTAGTGAATTTTTAGCCTTGATGAGCAGGTAAGTATTGTTGTTATTGTTATCATCATTATACCCGTTTCATCCATATTAACATTCTTTTTTTTATTTAGACAACTTAAAACAAATGATTACGAACAAGAATTGATAGAGGCTTTCAAAGTTTTCGACAAAGTAAGTTGATCAGTTATTCCAATCATGCTTTGATGTTCAATTACTAACGCGTTTATAGGATGGTGATGGTTTAATTTCAACCGCTGAATTGAAGCATGTTTTAACTTCAATTGGTGAAAAATTATCAGATGAAGAAGTTGACCAAATGATCGAAGAAGTTAGTGATGGTTCAGGTGAAATCAACATCAAACAATTCGTTGCTATTTTAGGTTAGATTGTTTCCCCCTAAACCTCAATCCAAATTACCCTTATATGCCATTATTACTACCCACAAACAATTCAATATTGATTTTATTATCTAAGTTTTTTTTTATAGCCATGCAATGAAGTCATTTAAATAATTCATACTTTCTACGTTTGTCAAGTTACTAGTTATTTTACGTTTAATTTTTTAGAAGTTCATAAATTTGTAGTCCTTCAACACTAACACACATTTGATCATTTTTTAAAACGATCATCTTCTTTTGGAACAGCATTTTTCAAATATCTCTTGAATGGATTATCTTCAAAATCTTCGTTTTCATCTTCTTGTTTTCCACCAAGATCTTCCTTCGTTATACCATTATTAGTTTTGACAGGAATTGTCTTGTCATTATTTTTACGAGGTAATTCAGAAACAACAGCCGAAAAATTTCCAGCAGCTGAACCAACAGCAGTTCTTGAATTTGCTGAGATACTTGGTTTTTTACCAGGTACTGGTGGTGACAGTTTCTTACCAGGTATTGGAATATCAGGTTTTTTACCAACAATTGGAGGTGGTGTTTTCTTTTCACCTGCAAAAGAGCTTGGTTTTGGTTTAACAGGAGGTGGCGCCTTTTTAGTACCAGTTACATCAATATTTGAAGGTTTTGGTTTAACAACAGGAGGTGGTGCTTTTTTGTTCTTGGATTCTTCAATTAATGATGGATTTGCTGGTGGTGGTAATGATAATGCTGAAACATCACTACCAGTACGAGTTGGTGGTGCAGGTGGTTTGATTGCCGAGACACGAGTAGGTGGAGCAGGTTTTGGTTTTGATGAGGTATTTGATGATTCATCAGGTCTTCTGAAAGGTTTTGGAGGTGGTGCAAATGTTCTTTGTGGTAGGTTTGTTGTTGATGGATGTTGAGATGAATGTGAATCAGTTTCTGCAGTTGCAACATATGGTGGTGGAGGAGCTCCAGAATTATCCTCAACATCTGAAACATTTGCTGATGAACCGGCTGAACTTCTTGGTGGTGGAGGTGGTGGAGCATGAGATAATGAGCTTGTTGAAGTATTTGTAGAAGCTCTTAATGGAGGTGGTGCTGTTGATTGTCTCGATGGAGGTTTAGGTGTAACTGATGAACTTCTAACAGGTGTTGGAGGGGCAGCAGTTGACGTTCTACTTATTGGTTTATGATGATCTTTTGATGGAACCGATCCACGAGGCTTTGGTGGTGGTGCAAACTTAACGTCAATCTTGTAATCATAATTACCTGAAATACCCTTTTTAGGTTCTTCAGACTCTTTATCATCTTTACTTGCGCCTGTATCCGAAGTCTTCAAAGCTGAAGACCCTCCTGTGCTTGTTTGATTTAACTTCGTAGATGTTTTAAGAGCTGGTGATCCTGTTGGAGTTATATCTTTATGTTTTGGCGGAACTGGTAATTTTGAAAGATCTGGTGATTGAACAGTTTGTTCATTAAGAGCGAGACCTGCAGCTTGCTGAATTGGAAGTTTTGATGAAATATCATTAGCAGCCTCTGTGTTCACAGTTAATGGTGGTTGAGATTGAGATTGTTGATGATTTTGAGGTTGAAGCCCAGGAAGTTGGAATTGTTGTGGTTGTGGTTGAGATTGAGGAAGTTGGAATGGTTGTTGAGCTTGAGGTTGTGGTTGCTCTATTTGTTGTGAGACTTGAGTTGGAGCTTGTTCTGAGACAGTGATTTGAGAATCACCTTGAGGAGGCAAAATAGCAGCTCTATTATATGTTCTTGGGCCTAAAGAAGGTGGTGGAGGAGCTGATGTATTCTGAGCTGGTGCATGGGCTGATGCTGATGTCGAGTCAGGTGTTAATGGTTCAACTTTATATTCTTGAGGTTGAGACACAGCACCCTGGTAATATGGATTTTTGAAGTCCAACACTGGTTGGGTTGTAGTGGTTGTGCTAGAAGCTGATTGGATTGGAGCTTGAACCGCAGCTGGAGCTTGAGCTGGTGGTTGGGAACCTTGAGAATTTGGATTCACAAACTGTTGAAACTGTTGCTTAAGACCATCTTGAACACCTTTTTGGACACTTTGTTGTATACTATTTTGAATATTCTGTTGTAATGACTGTGCAAATGGTACTTGTGATTGTGTAGTCGGTTGTTGAGCCGTTGTTGACTGAGTTTGATCTCTTGGTGGAATAACAGGTTGCTGTACATACTGTTGTTGAGTAGCTGGAACGTATTGTTGCTGAACTGGTACCTGAGCTGGTTGTTGAATTGGTTGTTGAGCTGGCTGTTGAATATGAGTTTGTTGTTGTGGAGGTTGTGGTAAATTTCTTTGAGGTAGTTGAGGCTGCGGAGCACCTTGCTGAGCTGGCACCTGTGTGTATTGTGGAGCAGGTTGTGACAATTGGGCTTGTGGAGGACTTTTTGATTTACTAGTGTATTGTCCTTGACCTGGTTTCAATGGAGGTGGTGGTAGATGATCCACACTTGGTAATGAGTTCAATGGTCTAGCTTCTCCAAAACTTGGTGATTCTTGTTCTTGAAAAGAATCGTTAGTATGAACTGAGTAGTATAATGTGGAGGAAAAGGTTCAATACATACCACCTGATTTACCTTGTTGTCCTCTTACATTGGCAGCTCTTTGATTCTTAGCAGCTTGATAACCTGTTTTACCAACAAATTTAGCACCTTTATAACCATATTTCCCCGTAGTAACGGCAGCTGTCTTAGCTCCATTCAAAATACTTTCCTTGTTATTATCCCAAAAATTACTCATATTGATATTTCTTAGAAAATTAAGTCAATATGGATCAAATTTGAGTGGATTGATTGTCTTTTAAAACCATTTCATAGCCTTTGATCTTTTGACACTTGTATCGCAATAAAAAGGAATAATGAAAATTCGCGGGTTGTAGGTAGTATCGCGAATTCGTTCTATTGTTTATTATTCAGTTAACGCGTATACTATGAAATCTTTCGCTATTGTATTTTATAGCAGTGGTCTTATTAAGACAGAATTCTGGTGATGTCCTTCTTTGAGAGTAATTTAAAGCTGTTCAAGTCGACAGATGTGGATGTTGACTTCAAATCACAAGGTTTTATACACAGCTTGAGAGCCATAATCATTGCAATCTTAGCAGAATCAAATGATGATTTGATATTATCTTCAAACTTATCAACTTACTCTGTCCAAGAACTACAAGAAGCCACAAAGGTGAAATATGAGCATGACTTAGAAACTATTGAAGATGTGACGTACTCCATAGACACCCTGGTTGTTTCATTCCCAAATAATATTATTAAGAAACAAGCACTTACATTTATCAGAACAATTGAAAAAACCAAAAAAACATATACCACATTAATATTAGCCAGAGGTTCTGCTAAATTGCTCACGTTTGTTCTACAATGGCTAAAGTCAGAGACTGGGTTTTATTTCAAACCATTAAAATTTGACTCGGATTTCTTAATTGAATGTATGAATATTGTTATTGATGGATTACAAGATGATATGGTTAGACTTGGTGATTTAGAATTATCATTTGATATCAAAACTCAACAAAATAACTTATCATCTATCGGGATCGATATACCACATAAAGAGATTATCAAATTAGCTAAAGAATCCAAAGAAGATGGGTTGAAGAATACTATATATCAATTTTTATTAGAAAGTACATCAATAGATTTTGCAATGTTTGATTTAGCAAAATTTAAATGCAATTTTTTATTTATAACTAAAGATGGGAAGTTGAAGTTCTTCAAAGGAATACCAAGAAAGGGAACATCAGATACAATTGGGTTTACAGCATGGGATTTCGTTCAGAAAATTTATAATATTCTTTAGAACAAAAACAGTTCACTCTATTTATTTGGAGTAATTACAAAATATTCTGACCCCAAAAATTGATTCAATTGTTTCTTATCAGAGCCCTCAACAAATGAAGCATCCGGTAATTGAGAGATCAATTCATCTTGTTGTGCTTTTAATTTGGCTTTTTCATTGTCTGGTAATTTTGTTATATAACTTCTTGATAACCAATAATCATAAACCAAATCAACATCAAATTTCTCAAATCTATGAATAAATTGATTACACACAGAATCGTTTTTGAAAAAGGATTGATTTTGGAACGCTGTTCTCCATTCACCTTTTCTATATTGTGGAACTTCATCATCAAAATCTTGCGCTAATTTAGCAATTTTTTCCCAACCATATTTTTTATCAATTTCCAATTGAGTTAAGCCTAAATCTTGACCAGATTGTGCTAAACTTGAATTATTACCTGTACTATCAAAATTCCAAATTAAACCTAATTTACCATTTGGTTTTAAAACTCTTGAAATTTCTTGTAGTGAATTCTTATCGGAAAACCAATGAAACCCTTGTGCTACAATAACTGCATCAACTGAACTATCTTCTAATGGGATCTCATAACTTGACCCAACTTTTGCATCAACTTGAGGAAAATTTTTTTGGAAACTTTCAATCATACCAACTGAAGGTTCAATAATTTTTAAATTTGTTGAAGACCAACCCGCTGCGATTAATTTCTTGGTGAATTTACCTGTACCAGCAGCTAATTCCAAGATATCTTTTTTGTTATTGAACGTAACTTCACCAAGTCTATCGTTCTTTTTAGACACAAGACCTAAATCACCAAGAAATTTGGTAACAAATTGAGGATCAAAATCAGGTCTGACTCTATCATAAAGAGAATGATTTGAATTGAAGGAGTTTAATGAAGTTGGATGAACTGTCTTAGTGGAGCTTGACATTTTTCCTAGATTGACGAATGATTTTAGGGGTAGTATCCTATTCAAAGGGCGTACAGAAGTGAACATTTCAAGTAATCTTAAAAATTTTTAATTAAAATGGGTGCTATAAAGTACATGTGGTTATCTGGATTCTGAATCCTCGATAAATTATGTGGAGATTAAAATTAGCTTTTGTTATGGACCATGGAGCCAAAAAAAAGCCACAAGGTGTAAGATTCAAGATTCAAGTTACAAGTATCAATTACTCAATGAAGGACAGTTATCATATTTGATGAATCCATATATCTCTACCCATCGGTATCTAGGATTTGGGAATAGTACCTACTTATATTACTGCTGAATTTGTAGGCGTTACGTTATCGACTGAAAACTGATATTAAAATACTTATAACATGCGTGCATACGTTACTTTAATGATAATACACTGTGGATCGATTCAAATATATAGCCATTGGCAATCCAGAATATACTGGAGCATAATTACCAGAAGCTATCGTTGAGTCTTGACTATTTAACCTGGTCCGTGACGTGACTCCACCCTGATGTATTATCGTATATTCCTTTCTTAAGTACATGTTATAAACGGTTTTAGAAAAAGTCTTAGCTTCCCGAAGACTCAAGAGTGACACGTAAATTATTTGATCATATATTGATTCAAATTCCAGTGGTTTATCATAGTCGCTATATTACCCAGAAACTTAATGGTATTGACATTTAGTTAACGATGAACGTACTCCAAATTCCACATAGAGGCTCGACGACAGCTACAAATTATCTATCAGTAATTAATATTGAACGCGAATATACGTACTACTTTTAATGGTGACTAGAGAGTCGAGACCAACCCAGATACCTACGTAATAAGTACCTTGTAAGTTGTAAGTTGAAAGCTCTCAAATTTCAATCTTTTTGATACCTAAATATTATAATATAACATGTCCAGTGTCCAGTCAATGTCCATATTTGTCCAGCACCCTGTTTCCCTGTTTCTACTCCAACCATAAGTTAACTTCACATCCAACATCCAATCAAATTACAAGGAGGGGCCTTTTCGTCCAAAGATGCTGGAAGACGCGTCCCAGCTTTTACGTTTTTGTCAAATTAGGTAGAAAAGTGTTCGAAAAAGCAGATTTTGAAGATCTGAAGAGCTCTAAAGGGCCACAACAAGGAAGATCCTGGTAACAATATAACGGCAAGTCAATGATAAGATACAAAACCATTCAATACACACAGAGCAAACATTATATACGTTTCAGCTGAAGAAAACAAAGGCCTTTCTGGACACCCAAATAAGCTTCAAATTGTCCAATTATGTACAGATTTAACGACAGAAACTGAATAAATTCGGGACAATTTCCTTACAAAGAAACTTCTTCACAAATTTTCATGCGTGTGCAAATGCACTTTTGTGCAAATTGTCTCTTTCTGTCTTACTTTACATAGAAAAGTTTAGTGGTTACTAGATCAACCACATACTAAAAGCTGTAAGAACATTGGAATCATAGTTTAAAAAAAGAAATCATGCGTGATGTTTAGACTTAAATGTTATTTGAGCATGATGAAAAAGTTCAAGACTCATGCCGATTTGGAAATCAGGATTCAGAACGTACATTAAAAGACGAAAAAGCAGACAATTGGGAAATGGAGAGAAAGGGTTTAAAAACTTTCTTCTTGGTGAGCGTGATCCATATATATGATATAAAATGTTTTCTTGAACCCAATTTGTGATTAGATCTGTTATTCTGACGCGTTATTTGTTATTTTGACGCTGTTGGATTGAATTTATTGAAGGTTATATCTAATCACATTCTACAGATAGATCAACATCAGATCCAAGTATATCATCATAGGATAATAGGTTAAAAATAAATTAGGAGAAAAGATTCAACTTCCAAAATGAGTTCGTTTAAATTAATCAATTCAAAAATATTCAATTTCAATATATTCATAATAACAATACTTTTATTGATAAATTCAGTATTTTCAGATGTTTCTCCTTCAAAACCTTTGAAAGGTGCTTCATTCACAGTTTCTGGTGGTACAGTAAGTATCCCAGTTTCATGGATTGAATCAAATGCTGAACCAAAATTAGATGACATAGAATCTTATACTTTTACATTATGTTCAGGTCCAAATAGTAATATTCATGCTGTTGCTACTTTAGAGCAAGCTGTTAAACCAGCTGATATTGATGATACTTCAATTGATTTAACAGTTGAAGCTTCAGCTGGTGCAAGTGGTAATTATTATATTCAAATTTACGCAAAGAGTGCAAAAGGTTTCACAATTAATTATACAAATAGATTTTCATTAAAAGGTATGACAGGTTCTTATCAACCAAATGGTAATGATGCTTCACCACCATCTGGTCAAACTTCTCTCGCAGGTGATGATAATGGTCCTACTAATACTGGTGATATTTCTAAATCTTTCACAATCCCATATACTATGCAAACAGGTAAAACAAGATACGCACCAATGCAAACTCAACCAGGTACTACTGTTACAAGAGCTAAATCAGATTGGACAAGAAAATTTCAAACTAGTGCTTTCACTTATTTCACAAGTGCTAAACATTCCCAATCTGTTTATTCAACAATTACACCAGGCTGGTCTTATACAATTTCTTCAGTTATTAATGGTGCTAGTGTTGCACCAATGCCAACTACTTGGTATCACCCTAGTCAAAGACTTTCAAAAGCTACATTGAGAAGTTCAGATCAAGTTACAGCATAAAAATAGGAACATTTTGATGTAAGAGACAATTATTTTATTTGATGAAGTTGATTTGATTTATATATTACTTGTATAATAACAATTTTATGACGATGTTTTATTATGATAACTACAAAATGTAAATTTTTGTTAATACTTCACACTAGTATACATTCATAACAATGAAATCATGATCAAAAGGTGTAAATACTTGTAGATATATATGAAAAGGTTTCAAGTTATAGTCTAGAATCTATTTTCTTGAACGTTTGAAGTTACCACCTCTTTTGTTTTTGAAACCATTGAATTTTCTCTTTTTTTGATTGTTTTTACCACCAAAATTTTCATTATTGGCCTTCATTTCAACATAAGCAGGTTTACTCATGATTAATAATTCATTATCATTATATTTTGGTTTTTCTGATAATTCAACAAATTTTTTAGCATCTTCTAAATCAGCAAATTCCACAAAAACGGATTCTTTGAATTTTTTATTATCATCTCTTCTTAATCTAACTTCATTAACTTTACCATATTGATTGAAGAATTTTTCTAAATCTTCTTGAATTGATGGAGTTTCTTCACCGAAACCTTTAGCGTAAATACTTCTTTGGAATCTTAATTGTTTATCTGAATCACTTGGTGGTAAAATTGGGTTTTTACGTTTAACTAATTCACCATTCTCTGAAACATCTAAAAATTCGGAAGTTCTTAAAGCTTCAACAACTTTTGAAACTGGTCTAAATTTTTTCATTCTATTGAATGAAGCAATTTTATCAATTGAGACCCATCCTTCTGTGTTTGATTGGACTGTTCTCCATAAAAATTTATCTTTTGGTAAGTTAGAATCACTGAAGTAAAATTCAACTTGTTTAATAACTTCGGTTGGTTCAAAATCAGTAGCTTCTTCTGCTTTTGATTCTTCTTTAGTTTCTTCTTTAGTTTCTTCTTTTGGTTCTTCTTTGGTTTCTTCTTTAGTTTCTTCTTTAGTTTCTTCTTTTGGTTCTTCTACTTTAGTTTCTTCAGATTTTTCTTCAGCAGCTGGAGCTTCAGTAGCTGGAGCTTCGGTACTTTCTGGGTTAGTTGGAACTTGTTCAGTTTTTTCTTCAACTTGTTCAACAGGTTTCACTTCTTTTTCATCAGCCATCTTGAATAATTATATTATAAAGGATCTTTAATACCAAACAATTAAGCCTTTTCTATATGTCAATTATACCTGAAAATTTTGTAGTGATCCAAAAAAAAATTGACCGATGACTTGCAAAGGCCAACATCCACGCGCGAATACATACTTAACTTTATGAGGCAAGATTTGAACATGGCTACTAGCTATAAGGAGCTCAAAATAATATAATTTAATTGTAATGTACTATTAGTTAATTAGGAGCTAAAAAGTTTATTCCACAAATATTTCTTGGCCATTCACAAAATCCAGAAAACTATAGAAGCAGATCTGTATCATTTCCTCTGTACCTCAAACTCTTGTGCATTGGTTCTTCCTTGAACACCAAGATATTTACAGACCAAATTATCTTTTTTCAAACCTCTAGATCGGAGGAAATATATATGTTCAATGAATTGAAAGTAACATTGTGGAATTTCTGTGTGTTGGTATACTGAAGACCCGGGATCTAGAGTTCCCGAATCTTTAACGTTAAATCCCTTATCCCAACTTGTAGTTATTATTGAACAACCTAGTTGATCTTTTGTGTTTTTCAGAACAGATCCAATGGAGCTATAGTCTGGCACTGATGTACCTTCCTTTTTTGTTTTCCAGAAAAATGCGGATAAATTGTCAATTAAGATAAGTGAAATGGGTAGACTAGTGGTGTTCTGGGGAAAGATCTTAAAAAGTGATGAGTTCGGATCTCTTAAAGCTCTTAAACACCTGACAAGTTCACTTGGCGAGCTAATTGGATTGATTATAAGTATTTTGTTTTTGCTTTCAGTGGAAAGAGAATCCTTAAATTTTTTAAAATCAGGGTTTTGATCGTTCCAGATATTCAGTATATCAAAAATAATGATCAATCCACATTGTGAGGCATCATTGAGTAGAAGCGTGCTCAATATTGTTTGTATAAAGTCATGTCGTATGTTTTTGGCATTATCAATAAAGTGAATGGATGTGCAACTGGATTTGTTGATAAATGGACATTGGATCTGATGTTGTATAGGGGAGATGAACTTTCAATGTTAGTGGAAATCAAAAACACTTCACTCGTTAAGATACTAACTGATCTCAGATTCACTGATTTGATATCTTTTAATAATTCCATGATAATGAAGCAGCTGAAGCCATTATATATGGTTTTAAAATTCAGCACTTTACTCTGCTGATTTAAGGAAGAAATATGACACTTTCTTTATAATGTTTTGATTTAAAGCTAAAGCTATGGTCACATGATTTAGCTTACGTAAAGCCAAGGTAACTATAATATTTTTTTTGTATGGATTTTATTGGAATTCAGTTTTTGAAGGCAAAATAAATAAGTTAAATATTAATGAAACGGATGATTATCATTCAGTGACACCGCTAGCATCCTGATAGTTTATGAATCAAAGTTTATTAGTAATGTTGTACCCTAGAAGTTCTGGTGAAGCCATTAAACACAAAATTAGGCTCCTTATTTGAAAACTTTTGTATGAGAGTTTCAGACTTCAACGGCCTGTGCGGAAAATTCGTTTTCAGACCAACTAGGGCAAAAAATTTCAGAAAAATCTGAAAATTTAAATCAAAACAAAAATATAAAGTGGTTGTCCCATTAACAGCTTGTTTCAGGCACTATACTTGCAGGAAGA